GGATGGATGGATGGATGGATGGATGGATGGATGGATGGATGGATGGATGGAAGACCACTCTCTATATTTATTATTCTTTGAGCATATCATCTTATCTAAGACACATGAGAAAAAAAAGCAGAGGCAACTTTGCTCAGAAAATACAGTTCATGGACAGAAAGTCTGCACGTACCAATAGATCTCAAATGGAACAGACGGAGGCAGCTTTTTGCTCAACACTGAATTCCGGGAGTGGCAGCCTGCAACCCCATGAGATCCACACACCTCCCCCCCCAGGTCTTCCTGCTGTTCCCAAAACCACTTGATGAAGAAACTGGGTCGGTCTGCTCAGAAGTGGCCTAAGTTCTTCAAAGTTTATTTTGGAGATGAACAGCTATGCTTCAACAACTTGCTGCCACCATCCCAAAGTAACAGACTTAGGGATTTTAATACTACGGTTATTTCCCATTTGATTAGTTTTTTTCTGACTTCATTTTTCTCAGTGGATCAGTTGATAATGAACAATTAAAATTTCATTCAAAAGTAGCATCGTTCGAAGAAATAACTTATGATATAAGTAGTTTCTTATATCATAAATGATATGTGCTCTCGCTGGTTATTTATAGAATGATTCTCGCAAGGTCCATCCATATCTCAAGCCCAATCTAATCAACTCGGGCAACAGCAACATTCTTGTGAAATATTCCAGTTTCAAGCAGGAAAGGGACAGTCCAGCTTCGTGAATTTAACTTCCAAAGTTCTCAGCAGTAACCATGTTGGCTGAGGAATTCTGGGAGTTAATGTCTACATATCTGAGGGACAGCCAGATTGTGGAAGGCGATCTTAGAACAAGCCTATTCTTCCTTTCCCATATGCAGTTTCCTTCTGTCTAACTTGTTAAAGATCCTCATAAAGCAGTAGCTTCTGGTGCTTCCTCCTCCTCCTCCTCCTCCTCCTCCTCCTCCTCTTCCTCTTCCTCCCCACCCCCTGCTCCTGCTCCTGCTCCTGCTCCTGCTCCTACTACCACAACATACTTTGTTAACTAGGGAGCCCAAGGAAATGCAGAAACTACTGCTTTACTTTTGGGTACTCCCATTTTGTTTCCCAAACCATTGACACCCAGTTTTCTCCTGTAGGGAATGATGACTTCATAATGGAGCAGTAAAGCATTCATGTTTGCAATCAGCATTCCCAGTCCATCCACCAAGCCCCAGATCCTATCCTGTTAATTCCCAGAAATCCATTTTGCTGGCCAAATGGGCAAACTCTGCAAAGATTCTTCCATCTTGAGAAATTAGGAGGCTGGTAGCACCTGTTCCAACTAACAAATTTGATTAAAAGGTGTAAGCTTTCATGAGCTGCAGCTTACTTCATCAGATGTGTAGAGTGGCTAGACTCTAAATTTAAATCCTACATCAATCTAGCCAATCTATGCATTTGATGAATTGAGTTGCAGCTTACAAACGCTTATGCCAGTGTTGTCCAAACTTGGCCACTTTAAGATGAGTGGACTTCAACTCCCAGAATTCCCCAGCCAGCCATGCTGGCTAGGGAATTCTGAGAGTTGAAGTCCACTCATCTTAAAGTGGCCAAGTTTGGACAACACTGGCTTATGCCTTTTAATCAAATTTGTTAGTCAGAAAAGGTGCTACCAGACTCCTGATTATTCACCACCATAGACTTACATAGTCCTCTGCCTACAATTCCATCTTGAGAGTGATATTGAACTCAAGTGCATCCCCTCTACAGGACAAGAGATTAATTGCTGCAGTTGGTTGGGGGAACACAGATTATTATTTGGAAATACAGATTACTGCTGGCTTGGCTTTCGACTCTGCAATGCTAAAAAGCTTTGGAAGCACGACTGAGGCAAAAATGAAGCAGTGCTAGGCATTAATTATGGGATCCTAGGAAAATATGCAGCTGTTTTAAAAAGTTAGAACAGGGGCTATGTCTATGCCCTGAATTCCAAACGACTTTCTTTTGGAACTGAATCTGAAGCATTGAATATCGTTCCCATTCCTCAAAGCACTTGAGATAAATGACAAATTTGGCCATTTACTGTTCAACTTTCCCATATACCCATGGACTACTTCCACTTTGCAGCTGTATTTGGAAAGCAAAGTCAAGGACAGAGAACATTCCTCCAGTTGCTACTCATATGATTAGCCTCATCAGAAGATTTGAGCAGAAATGTCAAGCTGACATCTATGCCACTTATTTATTCAGTGCTATTAGATCATCTAGCCTGTTGCCAAATAAAAAGAAGAGTCAAGGTATTACCTTGGAATTTATCTCAAAGGAAACAGAGCCAGAAGTGTCAGTTCCTCCCACCCCCAGGTGTTTTTCGGAGGGGGGTTAAAACCAAAGTGGGCGTAATTTCAAATACATCTCTTCATCCCTACATCTATTCCATTGTTTGCTTGTTTATACAGAAAATTCCATCCCTGTTATTGGGTACTTAACCACTGAATTTCAGCAGTGCGATCTTTGGAGATTGAAAGACCCCAAGGAGAGGGATTGGTTGACCACATTTGACCTGCAGACTGCAGGTTGCCAATCGCTTCTTTAAGTGCCTCTTGTAGGGGGAATTTCCTCTGTCTACTCCAGAGCCTTCCCTTTGCAAACAAAAGTCCACCAGTCTTTTACAAGAAGCATTATAGCAAATAGAGACTTTCTGGCTGAAAATGTCCCCAGGGCAGCCATTTTACAAGCCAGCCAGCCCCTGGGACAACCATCTGGGGCAGGTATTGCTAGCATATTTGCAAAATTCCAAATGTGCGCCTCAGTCCTGTTCGACTGTGACCGCAGAGTGATTTTCCCATGTTAGTTAGGAAAGTTGTATGTTATCAAATGAGCCAATCCCACCTTTGTTCCATTGCATCCTGGGATACCTTGGAGTCCTGGGGGTCCATCCTGACCTGGTAGCCCCTGCGTAGGGGAAGAAGAGCAGCAGAAGTTGACTGGATGATGTTATGGGTTGGTTGGTTTGTTTAAAAAAACACTGAAATACAATTTACTTACAGGAAGCCCTGGTGTTCCTGGAAAACCTGGTAAGCCTGGGGGTCCCTACAGATGAAAAACCACAAATAAGTTTAGATACCTGAGAGAGAAAAACACCGTATTATTTTAAATAAAGGCTCCAGAGCACAGAATTTCAAGCTGGTCTGAGATCAGATTGCAAGTGAGAAAACCTGCATCTTACGGGTCATGGAAAAGCCATGAAGTTAGGTTAGAAAACAGAAAAATTCCCTCCAAAGTTTTCCACTGATCATTTTTTCTGCAGACACTTCCATTTTTGGAAATGCTATGTCACAAAATGCAGTTAATACACAGAGAATTAAGAACAGTGAGTTGTAATTAGTTTTGCCCACCCAAGTAACTATTCTTAAAAGCATACTGTTGGTCCTTCAAGTTAGACCAGACCAAGAAATCAAAGTCATGTAGAGCACAAATACTTTTACTGTAAAGTTATAGTAATACAATCTTGCAAGTCCTTCTCTCCCTTTATCTTCATGAGAGCTAGGGAAGGTCTTGTCTGAGATGTTTACATACATTACTTTCCTGCCCCAGACCCAGACCTCTTTTATCTGACAGTTGCCTTGCCAGTGGCTCTTCCTCCTGTCTCTCAAGGCCATTCCCTCTGTCTTCTACACATGCATAGGCTTTTGTTTGTTTGCTCCTTTGAGTCAACCTTGATTCCCTGGATGAGTTTCTGAAGTTTTCTTGGCAAGATTTCAGAAGTGGCTTGCCACTGCCTCCTTCCTAGGGCTGAGACAGAATGACTGGCCCAAGGTCACCTAGTGCCTATGGTGGGACTAGAACTCACAATCTTCCAGTTTCTAGTCTGGTGCCTTAACTACTACACCAAACTGGATCTCATACATAGACTAGTTCTAGTTAAATGCTGGGAGTTATCATTCAACTAAATATCACTTTCAAATAAATACTTGGCTTTATTTTTAAGAGTGCTTTATGCTAGTGTTTCACCCCTCAAACAAATATTTCAATTTAATTAGTTTTACCTGGTAGAAAAACTTTTCATATATTTATACCTGTAAAATTAACAATGACTTACAAAAATAGCTAGTCTATGAAATAAAGGTTAAAAAATTCCATAAGATCTAACAATGATGGGCAGAAAAAAATATTCTCATTCTGATTTTCTTTTGCTCCTGTCACTGCTCATGAGAGTTTAGGATATTCTGTTTCAGATGTAACACATGAAAATAAAGTCCTGGTGCATTTTGAAAAGGCTATTTTCAAATTCTTAGGAACTGGAAATTACCTGAGAATTACTATCAGAAGACAAACTTTCACAAGGGTGAGAATTACTATCACAAAAGACAAACAAAGAACCAGGAATTATAAGAAATGCTACTGAGGTTTGCTCTGTTCAAGTAGCATGACTGGGAAAGCCATACAACCTTGGGATAACACAGAACAGTATCATTTAAGTCTTTAGCATTCATGTACATACGTATATAACATGTTTGTACGTCACTATCAAAAACAACTCTTGGTGGCTCATATCTACTTTCTGCTTTATTCCAGAAATCAAAAACGTCACTTACTCGAATGCCTTTGGGTCCTGTAGGCCCTGGAAATCCACTATCACCCTGCAAGAAGAGGAAGACAAAGAGTGACCAAGACCATCGATGGCAGGAACAGAACCCTTTCTATAAAAGCAAACATCCAGTGGTTCCTACTGGTCATGCAGCATCTTCAACAAGGGAGGGGGGGCTTGCTCTACCTACTCCTGACCTGGTTAAGAACATGAGAACATAAGCAGTGCCCTGATGGGTCAAGCCTGTGGCCCATCTAGTCCAGCAGTGTGTTCTCACAGTGGCAAACCAACTGCCCAAGGAAGCCCACTAGTTTCTTGGATGTGGGTGTGTGCCTTCGAGTTAAGTTTTGACTCCTGGCAACTGGCTGGACTAATCCCTGCAGTTTTCTTGGCAAGATTTCAGAAGTGGTTGGCCATTTTCATCTTCTTAGGGCTGAGAGGGAGAAACTGGCCCAAGGTCACCCAGCTGGCTTCGTGCCTAAGGTGAGGCTAGAACTCAAAGTCTCCCAGTTTCTAGACTTAACCACTGTACCACACTGGCTCTCAAATCAACTGCCTGGACAAATCTCTGCAGTTTTCTTGGCAAGATTTTCAGAAGTAGTTGGCCATTACATGCTTCCTAGGGTTGAGAGAGAATGACTGCCCCAAGGTCACCCAGCTGATTTGGAGCCCAAGACAGGACTAGAACTCAAGGTCTCCCAGTTTCTAGTCCAGCACCTTCTCCACTAGACCTCACTGACCTTTGGGCTGAGAGAGGGACTGGCCCAAAGTCACCCAGCCAGCTTCCATGCCTAAGGTGGGACTAGAACTCACCATCTTCCAGTTTCTAGCCTGGTGCCTTCACCACAACACAGCAGAAAGCAAAATGAACATCTGAAAAGAGCTCACCCAAGGTGGCCACACCCTGGCAAGCACAGCATCCAAAGTGGCTCTTTACAAACACTCACCTTTTCGCCACGGGGTCCACCTGGTCCTTCTGGTCCAGGGAAACCAGGCAAACCGGGCTGGCCTTGCAAACCTGGGAAACCTCGATCACCCTGTCCACAAAAAAGGAACAACAACAAATGAGTCTCTTCTCTATGCAGCACAGGATCTTGGGATTGATTGAAACGGTATTCTGGCTTAATTTATGTCAAGCGCCACCACTTCTGCCAAAGAAGCAAGAATCACAGAGATTTCAATAAGACGGTTTAATGCATGAAGTAGGGCTAAAATATACAGCCTTGGAAACTGATAGGAATTCCCAGATCTCCTTTATTAGCAAGTTCTTTAAGGTGGGGTCTCTGCACATTTTCTCCCTGGTCTTTCTACAACCCAGACTCAACGGCCATTTATGAACCACTGACAAACTCTTCTCTCAGCTGATTGCTGATGTCCAAATAACCTTTTTTCTTTCTCAGGCTCCTCACCAACTCTTTCCTTACACTTACCATGCAAAATGCTGAAGCCAGAATCATAAATTACCGATTTGTTATTTTATTATACTCACTACCAATCACTTATAAATTCTTCTTCTCTTGGACTGAGATGCACAGGATGACCATGATCCATATATGAGATAGATGATAGATAGATAGATAGATAGATAGATAGATAGATAGATAGATAGATAGATAGATAGATAGAT